TCCCATTCTGTTAAAATTCAGGACTGCAGCATGCTGCCCTGCCCCAAGAAGGGACAGGGGGAGGAAGAAAGTGTTACTAGTGTTACTGGACCGTACGAGGAGAGGAGATCAGTACATAAAACATGTCACAGCATCCCGTACACTTCGCATTAGCAGTAAATGTAGTGTTTTCATAAGTACATGATGTGTCATAGACCCTAAATTGCCCAACTACTGTAAGAATTAGTCCTCCAGATCCCTAACAGTTCCTTAAAAAAAAAAAAGATGAACCTCCCTTTATATTTACCTTTTTTCTTATAAAAAATGTTTTCTTGATTTCAGAGAGAGGAAGAAGGAGAAAGAGATAGAAACATCAAATGATGAGAGAGAATCATCAATCAGCTGCCTTCTGCATGCCTCCTACTGGGGATCGAGTCTGAGACCCCGGCATGTGCCCTGACCAGGAATCGAACCGTGACCTCCTGGTTCATGGATTGACCCTGAACCACTGAGCCACGATGGCCGGGCTATATTTATCTCTTGATCAATTCACCAGGGCCTAAAAATATTTAGGTTTAAATTATTCATTTGTCAGTAAGCTGTTCTATTTTTTTTTAAACTCGTGGTTTTGGGAGTGACAGTTCCTATGGGAAGTTTACTCCTTTATGTCTAACTGAGATTAAATCCATTAGAGATAAAACATTAATATATTCTACAAAATAATATTAAAACTAGCACAAAAAAGAAATAATAATCCAGTTGAATACAACGTTTTATAAAATGTTGACCTATTTAATGGAAATTTACAAGTTTAAAATAAACTAAAAGCCCAAGTTCAATTATTTAGAATATGAAGTGCTTTTAACACTAATACAAACAAATATATTTAGCTAAACATATATGTGTATATATACATACATAATTTTTATATCACAGTAAAAACTGAAGTTTTCATCCAAATTAACTTTTAAACTAAATAATTTTGGAAAAAATGCTCAAAAGCAGGGATGAGTAGGTGCAACAGAAAGGGCTGTTTGGGCAATAAAACTACTATGTGTGATACTGTAATGGTGGATACAAGAGATTATACATTTGTCACCCACAGAATGGACAGCAAAGAGTAAACCCTAATGTAAACTATGGGCTTGAGTTGATACTAATGTTTAAATTAATCACTTGTAAAAATTGTGTGGGGGAAGATGGGGCATATGGAAACTCTGTACCTTCTGTGCAATTTCCAGTATACCTAAAGTCTTTCAGATGTGCTGCGCACCTTCACAACTTGAGGACATCGCCCTGAAGACCCATGATCCCAAACCCTGAGCTCAGGGGCCCCAGAGACCCTGAGCTGGGATAGTGGTTAAGGATCTGCCAGTTCAGAAGAGCTAATCGAGAGAGAGGCAACACCTACAGTGCTTTACTGCCTTCAATAATGCTGATTTTGTGAAAGTCTCAGGAGAGATGAGGTAAGAAGCTGGGGGCCAGGCTGTAGGGTCAACTCCAGGACTGATGTGCTCTGAACTGCTCCATCCAGGGCTCTGAACTCCATCTCCACCACACTGCCCCTGCCCTCATGACACTCACAAAGCCAGAATGGAAGTAAAAACCAGACTTTGGAAATGGACAGCGTAACCAAGATCAAAGGGAAGGAGAAACGAAATTTAGGGAAAGCTGAGGCTTAACAAGAAGAATCAACGGGACGGCTGAGGGGAAGGAGTAACTCAAAGTGACTACCGAGGACAAAACTTACTTTAATCTGAAGGTCTGAGGAATATAAGGTACAGAAATAAAGGAAAAGCCCACCCCCATTTTCCCATTTATATGTAAACCAGAACTACTCTTAGGAGACGTTGTTACATATTGCCGGGAGGAGACCCAAAACAGAAATAGACACATTTAACATTTAGAAAAATGCAGAACTCCACAGCTTCTAAGATGCTCACAAATTGGGAAAATTTGTTTGAATCTTACATATTACTTTTTATTTCATGTTAATTATACAAAAGTTTTATGAGAGCTTACCTCTTTTACTAGGTCTTTTACTTACCTCTTTCTGACGACCTATAAATCGAATTTTCCTGTAGTCTTTCTCATCATAAACCTGAAAAGAAAAAGACCACATGTGATTTTTACAGCCTAATTCTGAAAGCGGTCACTTAAAAATCAATTGTAAACATTACAGAAAAGTGTTTTTCTTAACGTTTACACCATTCATGATCAAACACATGAGGGGCAAAGTACAGTTGTGCGACTAGGGGCATTTTTCAGCAAGACCCGGAAGGTGACAATGGGCAATCGCCTGAACTGGAAGGCAGCAGGTGGGTAGGGAGCGCAGAGGCGGCCAACTCAGGCAGAGGACGTGCACCCCTCCTTCACATACGGCCCGTGGCTTATGTCCCCCCTGAATCTACTGCGAGACACTTTAATAATATGGGTACTTACTCTCTCCTCTTCTGGCTTATGATTATAGTCTAACACTGTCTTTGCGTTTTGGACTACAGCAGGCTCTCAAGTTATTTAAATGTGCTATTTAATAGACACACATTACAAGATCAGAGCCACAGAATCGGTCGTTTTGAGTCCAATGGGAAGCCCCCCCCAGTGATCAACAGCGACACTCTGGGTGACAGCCGCACGGTAGAGTTAGGGAACCGGACCACAGAATCTGCAAACGCGCCGCTCCCACCCGCCCCGCGGCACCCGCTGTGGTCCGCTCCGGTTAGTGCGTGCGACAGCACAGCTCCACCGTGCTTCTGTCGCACGGGGGACCCGCGCGGTACTCAGCCGCCTGTTCTCCGCGGTCCCTCCTCAGGGACCAGGAATCCGGGGAAACCGGGAGGACGTGGGGCACTGGGGACAGCGGAAGGAACGGGGTCCGGGCCTGGGCTCCGCCCACTCGGGCGCCCCCAGCGCCGCAACGATTACCTGGCCGGTGTGCGTGACCTTCTCCCCGGTCGGCGCGATGCGCACCCCGAAACATCTGGCGCTCCAGGGCAGGCTTAGCGCCGCCGCGCCGCTCCGGCCCAGCTGCCGGCAGAAGGTCACTGCCGCCGCCATCTTGCGGGCTGACCCTTGACCCGGCGCGTCAACGCACCAGCGCCGACGCACGCGCACAGCCCCTCAGGGTCCCTGCAGCCAGGACTTTTCTCGGAGTGCCGAGACGCGCGCGTGCGCGCTGGGGTCGGGCAGTAGCGTCCTGGTTGGCCGCTGCTGCCCACCAGGCCTCTGCTCGGGTTAAACGGAAACTTTACGCACAAATTCAGCATTTAGCGGCTGCTGGGTGATTCTTACTAGGGGAAGATATAAAGTAAAGATGCATTGTTTGCATTAGACGGTAATCGATAATCATAAGGGATACACATCATAGGTTTTTATTAGTGAAGAACTCTGCCTAGAGAGGAAACTGGAAGTGTATTCCCTTAGCGCGGCGCGCGCTTCTTTGTAGCCGGGGCACAGCCTGTTTGGGGATTTCTGCAGCACAGCCCAGTGAAGCTCCCAGTAAAGCACAGCAGGTGTCACCCCACCCACTGCCCCCAATGTGATCAGCCCCGGACAGGCCACTACTCCAGAGCGCACCTGAGCAGGACCCTGGCTGGCAGCCTCCTAGTTCCCTCTCCCCCTCCTGCCTCCTCCAAACTGCATAGACCTGGCGGGATGGGCGACAATGGAAGGGGGGGGGAGGCAGACTCAGCTCTGAGCGGAGACACACTCCCTCCCCACTCCCTCCCCACTCCCCAGGAGCTACGGACATCCACAGCCTGCGCTCCACTCCAGGGAGGTGGAGGAGAGCCTGGCAAGGTGGTGAGAGGTGTGATGCCCTGAAAACCTCTCAGAAAGGAAGGGTACCTACAGACACATGCTCAGAGGCAGGCCCCAAGCTCACCTGGGCAGGTGCACCACGTCTGCGGGTCACCTTCCTGAGCACAGAGAGTAGATGGGTGGGTTCGGGACAGGCCCCCTGAAAAGCAGGTGTAGCAGAGTTCACCACTGAAGCTGGGTGGTGAGTACGTGGATGTTCGCCATAAAAGTCTCTCAACGTTTATGTTTGAAATGTTTGTTATAAGAAACGTTCAAACCTGTGAAGAATTGTTTGTGAGTTTATTTGAGCCAAACTGTCGCAGGGGAACCAGAATCTCAACCTACTGAAATAATGCTCCAGAGAATGGCAGTTTTGCAGCTTGCTTTATGTAAGTGGGTTACATGAAATCCATGGGTGATAGATTAGGGAGGTGGGAGAAAGCAAAGCCCGGAAGCCTCTTGGATTAGATAAAAAGTAAAATCATAGACACATACTTCTTTTACATAGGTGGGTACAGGATAGTTATAACAAGGTAACAATGAGAGGATTCCTGGTCTCTGCCCTGGTGCACTGAGGGCCTGGAAAAGGGAAATTACTTTGTTTTGCAAAGACATGTGTTAATCAGGTATGTTATCCCAGATGCAAAAGACAACCCAACAGGCTTAGTTGGGGTGAAAATTAACTTTTGTGAAGGAAAAATACTGCCTTAGGGAGTGGCCACCCACCATAGACTGCTTTTAGTAGTTAAAAAGTTTTCATTTCCGATCACCTTTTGTGGTTATTCTAGGTCTCTGAGTTTGCAAGGCCTTTCCTGAGCTTGTGGCCCCTTTTCGGCCACGTTTCATAATAAAATGTTGGGGTGGGAGGGGGATATTTAACTGCAATCAGACAGTTGTCTCCACTCGTTTTCCTGGGACTCGCCAGTTTTCCTAGGATGCCCCAGTAATACAAGCGTGCGGGGGTTTTTAGGATTTGTTTTGACATGTTTTCAGTTTTTAAGTGTCTACTTGGCAGTGACTTTTTCATTCTCAATATATACTTTCGTTTTCATATTTGCACCCCCACTCCGCCCCCAATCGTAGGCGGCAGGGTGCGGGGTGGAGGCGGGGGTGCAGGGGCCGGGGAGGTACCAGGTTCCGTCCCCACAGCGCCAGACCCGGGGCTGGACGCAGGGCACCGCGGGGGCCGCCACGTGACCCGCCGCCGTTTTTCTTCNCGGGCTGCGACGCAGGCGCCGCCGAGGAACCTACTGGCCCGCTCAGGGCCAGTTCTCCCCAGGTCAGGGGGTCCCCAGGGGCTGGGGGCTAAGGAGACGGGCGCCAGGTTCGGGTCTCCCCCGGAGCCTCCTGCGGTCGGGGCTGCGGAAAGGCTCCGCCCGGAGACTCGGCCTCAGTTTCCCTCTGTGGGCGGCGGTCCGAGCGTGGGGCGGGATCG